CGGCGGGTCTCGCGCGGCCGGGGCATTAGCAATTCCGCGGCGCCCGAGAGCCGGATTATCGAGAGCGAGGTGAAAAGCGAGTAGAACCGGTATAGAGGCGGAGAGAAGTACTCGCGATTCAATTTATACGGTTCGTGAAAGGACAGTGGTTGCCACGGGGGGGCGCGCGCACGCGAGAGCGAGAGCGAGAGCGCGAGAGAGCGCATGGGGTTAATTATCCTCGCCACAGAGAGGCTCGATTATGTACAGCTATCCGGTGGCCAATAGAGCGCGGCCAACTTTTTTCCGAGCGCTCCCTCGGTTGTCCCGCGTCCCCTCCCCCTCAGCCCGGCGTTGCCCTCTTTTTTCCCCGGCGACTTCTCTCTTACTATTTTCCCCCATTAGTCGACGCGTAGAACATAACCCTACAGCTGGGCTGGGAAAAGGGTTGCCGACCTCGAGACAAACCACCGCCACCTCCGCCGCCCCACGGGTTCCGGGTACGTGTGCGCGGGGAAGCGTGTGCGTCGGCTAAAAGCCCGGAAAAAATTGCAGCTCAACGCTTTTCGAGAGAAATTGCCGCTCGTTCGAGGAAAGACGAGTTATTTAGGGAAAACGTCGCCGAACCGCGATCGCCCCCCGAATTTCCTCGCTCCCCGCTGCTCCTCTGCCCGATGCTAATTGCTTCCCTTCGGGCAGCGCCGCCCGATTAGAATCCTCGACGGCGCGCCGGCCGCTCGACGGACGAGGCCCCGATTAATCCCACGCTGCCGGGGAGACGTATCGATTCGGAAAAATTGTCGGGACGATTTTCCGCGCGGCGAACGCGGACGGAGATTTCACAGAGGAAACGCTAATGCAACCGGAAGAAGGCGCGGTGAAATATCGTCGGAAGGGATGAAACGGCTGGCGGCGAGCGAAAAGGGTAGAGGGCGGAGCGGAGGACGGTCGGCCGGGGAGCAGCCGGAGAGGGACGGAGCACGGATGAAACCGAGGGAGATAGAGGAGACAAGAAGCCAAAGGGAGACGGAGGTTAATTAAGGGAAAACTTAACGACGGGGTTTGTCCAGCCCGGTCCATTTCTATGCGCGGCTACCTCCTCCGTCTTCCGTCGACCGACTTTTACTCGAGTTAACGCCGAAAGTTCCGCGCGGATTTTTGAAATTCTAATTCGACCGTCTAATCTACTCGGCCCCCTCCGCGTCTCGCCGTGTTCCCGCCCCTGTCCGCCTCGCGATATCACTGGGCACAGGAGTACGCGCGAACCTGGGATTCCCGTAGACGCGGCGTAGTCGTAGTTGCCGCTAGAAAAACCGCGGACGCGTTCATCGTGGCACACGCTGTCAGCAGTCGAGGAAGTCGGTTGTTCTTCTTCGCTCGGTGTATAATCCAGCTAAACGAGTATCTTCTTCCGATTGCACGTCACGGGGACATTAGCGGACACGAACGATAGTGAACTCTAGAAAACCAGTGGATGTTTTTCGAACGACGATCATCGGTTTCGGGAGGAAGTCTCTGGATGGCGATGAACCTCGGCAGTCTGCCCTGGCGAACGCGCGCGCAACGCCTACCAGGCTACCTATAGAACCAGAACTAATTGTGCTGTATTTAATTAAGCCGCGGATTATTTCCTTAACGAGGGCAGATCTCTATTCTTCCTTCCGACCACTTCAGCGGCAGGCTTCGCTCCCATCTTTTGCAGTTTTCCATCTCCGTCGCGCGACGTGAGAAATGGAAACGGATCTTGGAGAGATCCGCGGTTCTCTCGCGCGACGAGCCCTCGTTTTGTTATCGCTGTTCCTCTCTCTCCCTTCCGCGGCCGCCACTCCGTTACCGGCATCATTATCACGGCGGTGTCGTCGCGGATACTCTCTTCAGCCGCGCGAAAAGCATCGGGTCGTCGATGCGCCACACACCGGGAACTTTCGGTGCATCGGTCGCTCGGTTCCGCGATTTTTCGACGGTCGTGCGCGACCACGATCGATTGTGTTCTTTTCGCGAAACCGGCTACGCCCGCGTGCCGCCATTTGGGAGATCCATTCGCCGAGCCCTTCTTCGCCTCCCTCCGATTCGTCGATGGTCTTCACGCTCCGATAATCACCGTCAACGCGCCGCTCTCGCATCCATTTCATTTCTACGCGCGCGCGAGTTCGTTACCGTCGCGGGGAAACGAGTTTCGGCGCGACGGTCTCTCGACTAGCGACGAGAGCGGCTTCCGTCTTCTACAGTATTAGAAGCCCGAGACGATTCGATTACGCAACTATCCATCGACGAACGCGAGACGAGCGGAACGGGGAAATCCGGGCTTTATAAATTCTCGATTTTCGATCGACGCCAGACCGCTCGACGCCGATTCGCTCGAACGAAAGAGCCGATGGGAATTCCATTTCCGAAAGACTCGCTGGAAGTTAATATCGCGGGTTAGCCGAACGAGTAGCCTCTCCGTCACCGATCCTCCGTTGCGAGACCGACGGTCCCCGAAACCCTCCGCGGAGAGTGACGGTTGCGAGGGGTTGTTTCGCTTCGAGGTTGAACGAGCCGGCGGAACGATAGATAGAAGACGGGAGCGGGCTCGATTTCCAGTGGCCGAAACAAAAGCTGGCTACGTCGTGCTTCCTTTCCCGCAGATCCCCGGTTCCGTTGCGTTGAAAATAGCCCCGGAGGGCGAAGGGAAATGGAAACTGGATCCAGTCCGGCAGCAGCAAACTTTCCGAGTCGTTCGGGCGGGGAAGGAAGCGGTCGGGGCTCGGTCGGTCCGCGTATCGGCGGCGGGTATCATCGGCGATAGGGGGCGAGGGCGCGCGAGCGAGCGATATGAAAGAAAGGGAAATGACCGATAAAAAGGTGGACCGGCGCGGCAGGGGCGAGGCGGAAGGTCGCCGGTTACGAGGGAAAATCCAGTGAACGGACGCAATCTAGGAACTCTTGGGAACCAATCTCCTCTGATGAAAATACCTCGCTCAAAGCGGACGGTTCCCCGGCCGGGGCCAATTTCTTCCGTGACTCTTTTTTGGAGTATCGCGTGCGAGCGGGGGTAAAGGAGCAAAAGAGCGAAAGGGAGGAAGGGAAGAAGAGAGAGAGAGAGAGAGAGAGAGAGAGAGAGGAAAGGGAGGAAAAGAGAGGAACAGAGACAGAGAGAGAGAAAAGCGAGTTGCTTCGAAAATTTTCTCGAGCAGCGAGAGCCGAATCTCCGCTCTTCCCGCGTCCGTGGGCCGTGTAATCGCTTCTGCCGCGGCAAGTGGAAATCGGCCCGGGAACACTCTAAACACGGATATCGCGCGTTCGCCCATTCCTTTTCGCCGTTTATTACCTGCAGCGTTCCCGCGGGGCGGAGCGGCCGCGGGATTCACGCGTGGTCGAGCGCGTGCACGTACCTCTCCTCCGCGGCAAATCCGCAGGAAAGCCGAACAGATAAAGATCAAGCAATTCCAGGTTAGCCCCGAAGCTCTTCCTGGAACCTGCACTGCGACATTTATGCCGTTCTCACCCTCGGCTTACGTCTTTTCCCGCTTCTTTCGATTCCCCTGCCTGTTACCGTCGTTACCCCTTCCCCCGGCCGCGGTTCGATCCATCCTCCGGCTCCCACAGGAACGGAAGAAGCTGCGGGATTGCCGCGAAAGATGGATTCCGGTATCGGAGGATCGGGGCCAGGATTTTTCTGGTTATATTCCTGCCGCGAGCTATACTGGATATCCCGAGATTCGAACGTACTCCGGCAGCGACTGCTTTGAACAGCGTCCATGAAAGTTACAACCCTCGCGCCGCTTCGTGGGCTTTACGATCGATTCTCGCCGCGCGGAGCATCGCGACCGGCAAACCGCCGATCGGCGACCATCGCGCGTTGCAGCGTCTGCGATTTATCCCCCGGTACCGCTTATACGTTTACCCGACGAGTGGATTATACGGTGTTCCCGGCGCCGTTCGCGTTTCTTCGCCGGATTTCTCGGAGTTCCGTTTAACTAAATCGCGGCGGACAAAAACGCGAAACGCGCCGCCGCAGACGCGAGTTTCCGCCGTCCCGCGGGAGGTACGCCGAGGCGTTCCGTCGCTCGAGGAGTCTTTAACACGCGAGCACGTTCGCGGGATTATACGAAAAAGCGTAAACAACGGCAATGGAGCATCCGCGCGGCGGAGGAAGTCGTGTCGGCTCGACTCGCGTCGCGTCGCGTCGCGTCGCGTCGAACAAAGACGGAGCACGGGTTACTCGTCTTCGATTGGCTCATGCATTTTTCAACAGTCGCCGTTTGTTTGATCAGACTTAGAGTCCGCTGAGAACTGCACTTTTCGCTCGACCTCGGCAGACGGGGGCGGCGCGAAGGGACGGAAAGAGGCGAGACACGCGAGAGAGTCTGGCGAGGCGAGAGTGTGTTTGCCAGCGCGTTCCGTTGAAACGCGAGAAAGGCTGTTCCAGCGGCGGCATGCTAACGCGTTACCAAAGAGATCCCGCCTCGGCCTCTCCGTTCGGCAGCGAACTATCCGTCCTAACGTTTGCTCTCATCCTCGAAAACGAAGAAACACACTTTCCCCGGACGCGCCGCGGCAACTTCCGACCGTTGATCGATTTTTCCCGAGCCGCCCACCCTCGCGCCGCGGCCCCCGAAGAGGCTAATACGCCGTTCGAGGGTCCTTTTCAGCGAGCCGCTAAATTTGTTTGACACCAGAAATTACGCCGCGCCTTTTCAGGGGCTCATAAAAGCGCCGCTTTGATCTTGATTAAACTCTTCCACCGCTCGCCGCTTGTTCTACCGTCGAAAGGGAGAGGGACGCGAGCGCGCGGCGAGCGGGCAATCGACGATCGACGGCCGCTTCTCAGACCGACGGCGCATCGTCTCCAACGGAGAATACGTCGAGGCGAGAGCTGCTTTTACGTTCAACGAGATCCTGCGGCGTTTCCGGCCGATCTCTCGTTCTTTGCTTCACGACACACCCGTTCGCTCCGATAAAAAGTCCGATGCTCTTGTTGTCGCTGTAGATACATTTACATTCGACGCGTGTTATTATCATCGACATGGGAAACTCACCGATCACGGTCAGGTTGTAGCGAAAGCTGCGCGTCTGGCCTTTCCGGAAGTCGACCCTGCACCGGTAGGTGGCCGCGTCATGCCTCTTGATGTCCTCGATCACCAGGACCGCCGGGTTCGGGAACGACGTCCTGAAATACGCCCTCGGGCCGAACACCCCGGAGTCGGAGGAGTGCTGCGCCTTGTTCACCGGTTTTTCCCTGGCGTCGATGCTGCAACAGAAGAACGGAAGCGCGCGTTATCGAGGGTGATTCAGCGAACGGACCGGAACAGACGTTTATCCGCCGGCGACCGTCGTTCAATCGGGCCGACCCGCCAATCGGGGAACAATAACAGTCCGCGCGTCGGGAGGTTGTTTCGTATCCGGTTAACGCAATATAAATGTAATTTGCCGTTTAGCAGAGATTCGCGGGGAGCGGCGGCGGGCCCGGTAATATTTGCTAAATAGGATGGTTTTGCGTTTGTAAATGTAATGAACGTTATTACGCGTGCACGCATCCGGCCTCCAATCGGACGCGATCGATGCCGTTCCAATCGCGATTCATCCGGCTTTAATCCGCCGGCTAATAAAAATATAAAGAGCGCCGGGGAAACTTTATCATTTAATCGGTCTACCCAGCGGCCGGGGGATTCCCCGCCGTTTCCTCGCGGAGGCACGTTCGACGAGAGCCAGCCCAGGGGAGAAAGAGTTCCGGAGGGAGGACGGAAAGAGATACTCGATACCATTGTTCGCATTCCCGGCGACTTCCGCGGAAACTTCTTGCTCTCCCCGCTTTGTCTTTGTCGTTCCCGTTCCCCGCTCTGGCCAGGACCCGCTTTTTTTCTTCGACCGGGCGCCCGACTTGCGCCGGGAATCCCAAGAATTCGGGGAACGGGCCGCGGTATTCGATATGTATGTAGGAGACGATCGCAATTTCCGGCCAATGAAATTCGAGTGGAGCGCGGAGGTTTCATTGCGAGGGACACAGAGAGGGAAAAGGGCGGCGGAGGAGGGGGAGGAGGAGGAGGAGGAGGAGGAGGAACTACCCGAAAAACTCTCTTTCATCGCGATCCATCGAGTCGCGGGAGCCGGGCGCGGACCTCGGGTCACGGCTGTGTTCGTGCTCGCCCGCCGGAGAATATAATTATTTCGAATCGATGGAATAATTATTGCACAGAACTGGAGTGCAACGAGCGAATGGGCCGAGATAACGCAATTGAATCGCGGCCCTGTTATCCGATATTTTGCGCGCGGATACATTTCGTTTCCGATTCGAAGAAAAACTACCTCTGCGCCATCACGGTCCTCGCTCGCCGATTACACTCGAAACTAACGGACTCGCCGCGAAACTGCGAGATTACTAGCGATCGCGCTCGTAAACTCTGTCGCGAGCTGTCCGTCGACGGACTAGAAAATAGAGTCTCTATTCTCGACGAGTGTTTATCTTCTGTATATTTCTAGAGTCTATTCTCGAGGGAGATACTTAAAAAATCCGGAAATTGGAAGACCGGCGAAATTCGTTTACGTATTCGAACGTAAAAATAGAGACCGGCGATTCGAGCGGAATTAAATCTTCCACAGACTTCCGGCCAGGAGTCTTCAGTTCCGAGGAACGAATTAATTGTTGATTCGGAAAAACGCGGCCAATGGGGATATTCCCCGTCTCGCGAGCGCATCATTTTTTAGCGAGGCCGGATCGATGGAATTTTTCCGGACAGCGGCGCCTACAAGGCGGATCGCGGAATAAATGATGGAAGACGGAAGACGATAGGGGATATAGGACAGCTAAAACGACGGAGATTGATGAACTCGGGACGCCGCGGGTCGCGTACCGCCGCGGGATTAAAACGCGGCTAAAATTCTCGCGCGTCCTTGCAGTTCCTTACGAGCGGAAAAAAAGGGAAAATGGGTGGAAAGGCGAGAAAAAAGGGGAAATTATGACGTCTCGTCGTTAATTCACCCTGGAAAATTTACAATCCCGCGCCGCGGGGCGTGCAGCAGGCGCGAGCGGGCGGGCGGGCGCGCGCTGCCGCTGCCCCGTTACCCGGCGACTTTTTATTCAAATTTTATTCGCGAACGCGTCGCGCTCGACGCGCTAGACGGTTCTAGTTCCGAACGAAATCCTGCAATTACGCCGGTTAGTTGCCGGGCTGCCGGCGCAGCTTCGTCTTGAAAATTCAATGAAACTTTCAAATACTTGCGTGAAGCGACGTTAATAACACCCCGCGGCCGGGGAAAATTCTCTGCCGCTTCTGTGATATTCATTAACGGATACCGTCGCTAAAAACGTCTGGATCGGTGCTCGTGTTATAGCCCGGGCGATAAAAAACTAACAGAGAGGAAAGGAGGGCAAACAGGAAGGGAGAGAGTGTGAGAATGAGAAGAGAGAGCTAGAGAGAGAGAGAGAGAGAGGAAGAAGGAAAAGGGAGAAAAAGGGTAATGTCAAGTGAAATATTGTTATGGAACGAAGGTTTAATGCGCCATAATTATGTAGCATTAGCTTCCACCATATAATGTGGTCCGGCGTAATTACGTGCTCTCGCGATTCTTCGTATTTACGACGCGGCCGTCTTGACGGTCCATAAAGTTAACCGAAGTCCCGTGGATCCGGCTCACCCTCGGCTCCACCCCCTTAGCTGCGTCCCCGGTGCTCACGTCCGGGCTTTTCGCCCGATCGACGCCGGAACAGATGGATAATTGAAAAGGAAAGGAGTTCGATTTCCTCGCGTCCCCCCGATCTTCGTGCCGTACGAAGGGAACAGTCGGGGAAACGTCGATCCGGCTTTGTTCGAGCGAACGAATCGCGAGAGATTTAAAAAGTTGCCCCGTCACGGGGGGCGAAAGTTTTGCGCGAACGCGGTCGAGCAATGGCGAGCGCGGGCGAGCGCGGGCGAGCGCGGGCGAGCGTGCGCGAATGAAGGCCGCGGGCAGGCTTCGTCGCGAAACTTGGGATTACAGAACGTCGATGTTTAAATCTCGGAATCCGATTCAACGATGTTCATTAATTGTCGGCAACTATTCGCCGGTACTCCCTCGGGTTTCACGAGGAAACGGAACGATGCGGAACGAAACGAAACGGAACAAATGGAATCGCTTGAACCGTGACTGAAGGGGGCGGACCGGCGTCAACGGCCGCTCGAATGTAGAACGGAAGAAACAAATGTCCGTAGAACTGTCGCGGCGCTCCCCCGAGACCGCGGTTATTTGCATCAACATCGATTCCGCGTGTACAACCGAGGAAAGTAGGTATAGACGCGCGCCTCGGCTCGCTCCCCGGCGAAATGATGAACATTTCGCCGGGAAACGCGGGGCTTCCTTGAAACATTTTAATGGGCTATCGCGGATTTCTTTAGGAATTATTATTTTATCCGGCGTCGCGTGGTCGATAAACCTCCGCGGCCGGGATTCCTAACTCAGAAACCGTCTGGAACGCGCGCGCGGTACGTGCATGCGTTATAAATATCTAAACGCGAACGTTTCCGCGACAAATCCACTCGCTGCTTGTCGCGAGCACTTTTTCCCCTTCAGGAAATTCTGGCAAAGCCGCGGCAACGTTTCCATCGGCCCACTCTATTCCCCGTTCCTCCGTCGCGTCGGGCCGAGAGGATTTTCCCGATCGCGTGGACGCCGCTGATAGACGGGGGATGAGGCGAGCCGCCGAGCCGAGAGAGGAATAAGACGGAGCCGGCGGCCGACGTTCGTCGCGATTATTTAGAAACACAACGGAGACTCGATAATCCGTGTTCCTGGTAATTCGAGCCTGTTCCTTTCCCCGCGCCGCCCGGATTATCGAGACTTCCGCGCGCCGTCGAAGCTGTTGCACCCCGTTCGACGCAATAAGGAACCGCGTATCTTTCTTTCTCAGGCTCGCCGAGTCGACACGGACCCCCACCCGCGGCCCGGGATCTCCCAGGCGGACTGCTCGATCCTCGTCGAAGCGGCACGTCGGGTAATACGGAATCGATGTCTGTTTTATGAAACGTTTTATCTCGCCGCGCAGCCCGCCTTCTTCAATATTTCGCCTCGTTCTCGCCGCACCACCTTCGCGACCTCTTCCCTCTCGATTCTTTCTCGATCCGCTTGGCCCCTCTCGACCCCTCCCCGTCTTCTCGACCGCCAACTACTCGACCCCTCTTAGCCTGTGTTCTTTCCTCGCCGTAACACGCCAGCCAGCGTTCCCGCCCTCGTAAAAATGCTGCGCGGCCTCCGGCTAAAGGGTAAATAGCGACGGCATATATTTATGCGGCACGGGCCGCGAGGCTCGCTGTCCGTGGCCGTTTTACGAGAACCCTTCCCGAGGTTTCTCCTCGTTAGTTAATCCCTCGGCGTGCAGTGACGAGACTGACTTCGATCGTTTGCGTGTTACGGGGCATCTTTACGATGGACGCGAAAACCCGACTGCACGGGAGACAAGGGAAGGTAAAAGAGAATTAATGTGATTCGATACAGGAAAATCGTAAGGTTTGACGTTCGATATTCAGCTTTGCATAATGCAACGGTGCGCGAAACACTGAAACGAAATAGCTTCGCCGTTCGCGATCTCCTCGGGAAACGTTGAATATTTCTACGAAAGAACGTTCGAGCGCGAAGGGTTGGTAATTAAGAGTCATTGTCGCTTCGGTTCCGGAGCAGTTCTCGCCCTGTAGATCTCGCGATCGCGTCGCTCCGGGCACCGTACTTCGCCGAGCTGACTTGTACGGCGAGGTGTTGAGTTCCCGCGACGACTTCGCGGCACAGATTGCTCCGGTTACCGGGCGACAACGAACGGACCGACGATCGAACGGACGAACGAGCGAACGAAAGGAGGAACGAAACAACGTTTCCCGCGTAACAGAGTTATCAATCGGTCGGCGAACACCGGCCGGCTCGGTCGGATTTTTAATTCAACGGCTCGCTTTAAACGGAACCGCGCCGCGTTGCGTTTTATCGGTTCGTTTTTCTCCGGCGGCCGTTCGAACCGTCGTTATTCGAGCGTCCGCGTCGAATCGCGGTCGAACGTCCGGCGAGTATTTTCCTCCGAGACCCGACTTCCCGTCAATTACGATCCTTCCGGTGAGAAGGGGGAGGGAACGCGCGCGAATGACCGATGTTTCGCCCGGCGAGACTCTGTATTACGATAAGCAATATCGCGCTGGCGCGGTATAAAGGCCGGTTTTATCTTTATTGTACGCAAGCCATTCGTTCGCGGCCTCACGTGCAGCTGTCGCGGATTCGACGGAGGCGAAAGACCGC